TCTACATCTTGGATTCTTTCTAGTCGTGTAATTCAGCTAGAAGACTGCTGGTCTATAAACACCAATCCCCTTACCAAAGCTCACAGGAGTCTTTACCTCGGGGTCTTGCCTCCCCATCTAGCCTTATCACCCCCGCCTCACCTCACATAACAAATGACACTCTAACAGTAGCTTACTGCTTCCAGTCCCCTCATACACTATGTCCTATTTCTCCTCTTTGAGCTTTCCTCATGGTATCAAACTCCGTCTTTAACATCTTTCATTTTTTTCTCTATCGAGCTAACTTATTTAAGCCTCAGATTTAGCTCAGGACTTCTGACTTCCAAATACTGTATTTCACCCTCCTATGGAACTTACTACACTATTAGATGTGCAATTACATTCTTATATAACATTTCACTTATCTGTTAACTTCCCAAACAGACCACAAACTCTTTACGTAAAATACACTACAAAAGTAATATTAAGGGATTTTTTTCCAATCTTGGTACATAATCTTCAATAACTAAATCCTAAAGAATACAAATAACACCTTTTCATGTTGTCTAGATTTTTAAAAAGGCATAGAGCAGTATCCATACGTTTAAGACCATTCTGGTATAATTACAAGGGTAAAGGACAAAGAACAAACTAAAACACCTTTTAAAATCTTTTAGGCCTTTGACTATAGTTTTAGGATGAGGAAAAAACAACAGGTTCTGATTCCTGATTTCCCACTAAAATTATTAAAGCATATTCTTAACAGGTCTTTGATGCACACTTTCACTCACCTTAACACTACTACAGTGCAAACCTTTGGCCATGAGAATGTAAACCAAATCCCTTGTTAAATTGTCTTTAATTCCCAGGATAACACCACTATAGACAGAAGGTACTTCCCACTAGAAGATATAAAAATACATAAATACATACACATAGAGAATGCCAAATCTAAACAAGAATCTTCTGATAATCTTCAATCAGGGCTGACTGGTTAGCTCAGTTGGTTAGAATGTGGTGCTTTAACTTCACTGTCAAGAGTTTGGATCCCCATACTGGCCAGCCAACAAAAAAACAAAAACACTTTCAATCAAAAAAAAATCATAGATCATTTTTTAACGAGAAAAGGAAATGACTGCCATAATAAAAGGCTAATCTAAATGAACATATTCACTGTAATGAGCCAGTAATAAATAATTAAATGAAGTAGAACTTTCTGAAGGACAGCCTATAGAAAAAGACACAAAAACTAGTTCTATTTATTTAATTTTTGGTGGCTGGCCAGTAACATGAATTGAACCCTAGACCTTATCAATACCACGCTCTAACAAACTGAGTTAATCGGCCAACTCTTGAAAACTAGTTTTATATGTATTAACTCACATGATCCTCACAATATTATGAAGTAGGTACTATTATTCCCATTTTACAAATGAGAAAACTGAAGCACACAGAAGTTAAATAACTTGTTTAAGATTACACAGCTAGTAAATACAAAGATGGGATTCAAACTTAGGCAGGCAGTTAGTCCTAGAACCCCCTCTCTTAACTGTGATGCTATACTTCATCTTAAAAATTAACGCTAATAAACAGCACCAATACTAAGGTAGCCCAATAATGTTTAAAGCAACTTTTTATTTCACTGAACTTGTATGTTTAAACCCCATAAAATATACATGAATTTCTTACTTTATTAGACACTGTCCAGAATTGGCGATCTGAAGTCATACCATGTAATTCAATTAAAATCTGTCTAATCCTCCAGGGATCCACTGACAATATAAGTTGATGCTCCAATTGGCCAATGTTGACACTTGCTGAGGCTAAGAAAGGAAAAAGAGATTTCTATTTCAATAGTGATTTAATTGAGAGATATACACAAACCTATAAATACAAGAATGACAATTTATTGAAACTATGTATGCTTAAAGTTAAAAGCAGCTATCATCTTGAGAACTGATTCATTCAACATAACGTAAATTGTATATTAACTTTATCCTCATATAGAAAACAATGCAACTTGTATTATATCTGCATCTAATAAATGAATGTATTTAAATAGTGAAAATATAAACAAAGGTAAAAGTCAATAATTGGTTCATGGAATGAACTATGTCGGATATACAGAAAGAATTAACTTACAGGGCCAGCCCATGGCTCACTTGGGAGAGTGTGGTACTGGTAACACCAAGGCCACGGGTTCAGATCCCTATATAGGGATGGCCGGTTAGCTCACTTGGGAGAGTGTGGTGCTGACAACACCAAAGTCAAGGGTTAAAATCCCCTTACCGGTCATCTTGTTTAAAAAAAAAAAAATTCCCAGTTCTCCTTTAAACCTTGCCCTCCCTTAAATCCAGCCACTCTCATCCCCCCCCCCCAAAAAAAGAATTAACTTACATACACAGATCCCTACATTTGAACATAATGTGTTAATGAAAGCACATATAAAATGTTAATTCTGGGCCGGCCCCATGGCGCGCTCGGGAGAGTGCGGTGCTGGGAGCGCAGCGATGCTCCCGCCGCGGGTTCGGATCCTATATAGGACTGGCCAGTGCGCTCACTGGCTGAGCGCGGTGCGGGCAACCCCGCACCAAGGGTTGTGATCCCCTTACCGGTCACGAAAAAGACAAAAAAAAAAAAATGTTAATTCTGAGTAAAATCACCAAGAATGTGTTTTTTGAGGGGAGAGGAAAAGGAGGAGGAGGTATTCCCTTCCCAGAGAACCAAAAATGATCACTAAAATCCCTAATTACAGCTCAGCTATCAGACAGTCTTCAATAATGTGCTTCCAGCATTTTGTATGTGTTAATGTTATCCTTTTCCTTTACAACTGGATTTTCAACCAGTTTAAATCTAGTAAGGGTCAAAAGCAGCTAAAATTTGTCTTTTGTTAAACCAACTGAATTCTGTCTCATCTGTATTGTTTTACAGCTTCCATTTCCTATTTTATGAACAGTACTGTTTTCCTATTTATATATATAAAGACAAAAAAAGAAAAAAATCATCAAACAAATAAGGCAAAAATGGCAACGTGGCCAAAGCTGAACATTTAGCCAGCAGCAGATGGGAGCAAAGTGATACAGGCTAAAATGCACGAAAGTCTGCACTCTTTTTGGTCCCAGCATCCTTTACCACTCCCCTCCCCCTTCTAGTTTTTACCTCTTACTTCAAAAAGTTCATGGAAAGATTTGTATTATCTTTCAATTCCATTTTTTCATGAACTTTTTGAAGTACCCTTGTATTAGCAGCAGGGTTTGTTACCTTGGTCTATTTCCCCAGCTAAAATCTGTTATGAATTTAGACCTAAATCTTCATTAACCATAGGCTCAGCAGAGTCCCAGCACTTAACTGCTCATACAGAAATGTGACTGTGGAAGACACGTAAATTTCTATTAATTACCAACACAAGCATAAACTAAAACAAGAGGAAATCCTCAAATATATTCCAATATTAATTTGAACAAAAGGGCAAAATGTGCCAACATTTTAGCTGGCAGACTAGAGAGCTAACCTGGGATATCATAAAATGAAGTTACAGGCTTAATGCACAGATTTACTCTAGGGGATCTCTTCCTCATCTGATCAACAAGTAGCTTTCGTTCTTTATCTTTCAACAATGTAATGAAAAGCTCATGTGAAGAAATCATGAAAACATACTGTAGATCTTCCAACCCCAGACACACATTCCTAGATCAGTAAGAAATATTGTAAAACAAAAACGTTTATAATTTAGTTTGGGAAAAACAATCATATCAACTAATTTTTATTAATAAGCCAGTTAAAAAGCCACCATTTCATTAATTGTACAATAATATTTTGAAACAAATTTTAAATTTTCCCTTTGGTCTTTATTTTAAAATTGTGAATTCTGTGCCACAATACACAAAAAAAGTAACTATATAAACCTAAAGTTTCATGTGGCTACACAAATTTGAACTTAACTGGTTCTCAAACACCAGTTACTGCCCAGTTATAAGATATGCAGAACAAATACAAAAAGATAAATAATAAAAGATACTTTTTTCACAGGACTAAGTTCAAAGTTTAAAAAGAAAAGAAACATACTTACTTTAGAAAAGCAGCCATATTTCCTTTCAAAGACTCTGAAGCTTTTTCTAAATTTATTGATCTCGCACACACCTAGGAATTTGAGTAATGTTCATTTGACTTAAGTCCTTTAAAAAAATGTTGATTATAATCTGAAAAGTTTACAGATAAAAACAACTGAATTTTCCCGTTTCAACCATATACCAACCACAGATTTGGTTAAGTAATTTAAGAAAAGAAATGAGACCCTGGAATAACAATCCATTATAGACAGGGAGTAGAATGTGACTATTTTAATAACTGCAGGTATTTATATGTGTGTGTGTGTGTGTGTGTGTGTGTGTACCGTGTGCTAATATACACACTACAGAGTTCTCTCAGAATTTATAAGTATGTTGCGAAATTGTACGAAGTGATAAACTTTAGGAATGAGTAGCTCCTGTGAGTTTTAAAGAATGATCAATAACTAAATTCTAATTAATATAGAACCAGTGGTTAAGAAGGTAACCAAGGTTTAAAAATAGTGAAAACAAAGAATAACTGAAACTAGTCATGGTAATATTCGTTATCTACAAATAATATTTTTATAACATTATTCTGAATTTATTCATTAAATTAGGATTCCTCCCCATATTGTATTTACAAGCCAAAATAAAGTATTAGTGTGAAAGTCCCCGACCTCAAAAAATAGTCAAATATTCTTTATGTTGACACAAAGAAATACAGAATGTTCAGATCCCTATCCCAGCCAGCTGCCAAAAAAAAAAAAATGTTCATAGCAGCATTATTCAGAATAGCCAAAAAGTGAAAACAACCTGGAGTTCATCAACTGATGAATGGACACCTAAAATGTGGTATATCCATTCAACGGAATATTATTCAGCCATAAAAAGGAATGAAGTACTGATATATGCTACAACCTGAATCTTGAAAACACTATGCTAAGTAAAAGAAGCTAGATACAAAAGACCACCTATTATATGCCTTCATTTATGGGAAATTTCCAGAATAGGCAAATCTATAGAGACAGAAAGTAGATTAGTAGCTGGCTGGGGTTGGGGGCATTAAAGGAAAATGAAGGGTGACTTCTACTGGGGAAGAGGGTTTTTTGGGGAATGAAGAAATAAGGTGATGGTTGCACAACTCTAGAAATACACTAAAAGCCAACTGTACGCTTTACATGGGCAAATTGTATGGTATGTGAAATACATCTTGATAGAGCTGTTATAGAAAAAAGAAATAATAGTATTTTAAAAGTACCACGCTTGGGCTGGCCCAGTGGCGCACCGGAGAGGGCGGCGCTCCCGCCGAGGGTTCGGATCACATGTGGAGACCGGTTCCCGCTCACTGGCTGAGCGCGGTGCGGGCGCAACACCGAGGGTTGCGATCCCATTGCCGGTCCCCCGTATGGGCGCAACACCGAGGGTTGCAATCCCATTACCGGTCAGTAAAAAAGACAAAAAGGAAAAAAAAAAAAGTACCACACTCAAATATACTATTTTCTGATTAATACAAAAACCTATAAGGATAAATCACATCTGAGCATCTTAGAGTATGTACAATGTACTTACATTCTAATAATTTTGCTCCACTGTATATTTAAATTTCTATTAAGTCTGCTGCCATATGTAAGATAACTTATTATGGTAATACCTGAGTCCCCTTTCATAATAGATTATTTATTCACATACGAATATGCATTGTACCCATGTCATAGAACAATGTAGGGAATGTGTTACTTTCTAATAAGCAATTGTAACAGATCACGTGTTATGTGAATTTCACCTCAATTAAAGTTATTTAATTAAAAACATG